ACTCATGTACAGAAAGGGCCTAATATGGTGCGAGGTCAGGCATGCAGAAGATACGCAATAAACGATAGTTCCTTCTCTTCTTTCTCCCTTTCCCCTTTGCATTGAAAGGAACCAGAAGCTACTGGTATGGAATTCCAAACGGATGAGTGAAAAGTTGCCAAACAGAAAACGTAGGAAACAACCTCTTTTAGCTGAAAAGGCATTGCATGGGTTGGCTAAACTTTTGATGATTCTCATATTTCATGCTCCATCCTAGAGTTGTGACGCCAGTGAAAGGTCCAGAGGTTTACCGATTTCATTTTTTAAGTAAAAGAACCTTCAAAATAAGAATAACTCTAATTTCAAAGATGCCGGATCGAGTGAGAATTTTTTTATTGAGGTATAACTGACAGACACGATATTAGTTTCAGGTGTACAACATAATGATTTGATATTTGTATATATTACAAAATGATCACCTCAATAAGGCTAGCTAACATCCATCACCATACATAGTTACAGAATTTTTTTTCTTGTGATGAGAACTTTTAAGATTACTCTCTTAGCAACTTTTAAATATGCAACACAGTATTATTAACTACAGTCACCATGCTGTATATTACATCCCCAAGATTTTATAACTGGAAGTTTGTGCCTTTTGACTTTCTTCATCTGTTCCCCTCCACCACCTCTGGCAACCACCAATCTATTCTCTGCATCTATGACCTTGGTTTTTGGGTTTTTTTAAAAAGATTCCACGTATAAGTAAGATCATACAGTATTCATCTTTCTCTATCTGACTTATGTCACTTAGTATAATGCCCTCAAGGTCCATCAGTCTTCTCACAGATGGCAAGATTTCATTCTTTTTTATGGCTGAATAATATCCCTATATATATATACCACATTGTCTTTATCCATTCATCCATCAATGGACACTTAGGTTGTTTCTATGTCTTGGCTATTGTAATTAACGCTGCAATCAACACAGGGGTGCAGATATCTTTTGATGAACTTTAATTACACTGTAGTTGTTCTCTAGGCCCAGGAGGGGAGGAGAGTAGTATGAAATAACATAGCAACTTATTAGAAAGGGTATAATTAATTGTTCTCTTTTTTATATGGGTCTTGATTCAGACAAAACTACAAATAAAGTTGTAATCTGGGGCTTCCACTGTAACTTTTGTTCCCTTTTTGGTCTCTGGGAATAAATATGCTATGACTGCATGGAGAAGAGAAGAAATGGATTGGAGTCAAAACAAAATTTTCAAACAAGCTTGAGATAGTATAAAAGTCTAATGTTTGACCCAAATACCTAAAACTCAATTTAACTTACAAGTGAAGTCAGGTTAGAACCCTCCCTGCTCTAGACCTTTATATGTTTCCTGGCCTGCATCTCGGCAAACCCATCCTGTAGCTTACTTGCCTGATCCAACCCCAGTCAGCCGAAGTTGGCTGTGTAGAGGTCGTGGGCATGAAGAGCTCTGGGCACCAGGAAGAGATGGTCACAGGTTTCTCTACTCCAATCCAGAAGAGAACTGGGGTAGACCTTATCACTCTCCCTAAGGACACATTTTGTCTTGAGTTCTTCCAGACTTTCTAGAGAAGTAAATTTTAATACGGGCATGAGGGTCTCCCCTTATTATGGATTCAGTGTTCCATTTAGACCACACAAAGAGCTCTCTTTTGGGTCTGGAAACGTCTAGAAGTGTTGACAGGGGGAAAATGGCACTCAGTCTCTTCGGTCTGGGTCCTGTCCTGTCCACCTACTGGTGGCCCACATCTTAAAACTTTCCAATCTCCATAAAAAGGTGAAATAAAAGAGACAGAAATAGTACACATGAGGAACATAGTTACAAAATGATCTCTGTTTTGGCAAGTAAGGTGGTGAAATTAAGCAGCCACAGTAAAAGTCTAAAAATCCCACTGGATAGAATTATCACAAAGGCCCAGATGCAAGGCTTTGTCCACACTGGAAAGCAGGAGAAAACCAGGATTGTGACCTGAGGGGTGAGCTTGATGTTCCATGTAGAAAGTGACACCGAAGGCAAAGCGGGTAATTTACACCATCCTGGGTTAGCTCTTGCTAGTTAGAGGTGCTAAAAGGAGGCTTCTGGCCAGAATTTTGGACAATTTCTATTACTCGGACCAAGCAGGTCAATTATTGCCCAGGTCAGTGGATCCTTCCCCCAGGGCTCCTGTAGGGTCGTCCCCTACTCCCTGCCCCCTAAAGCTCCGAGCAACCAGACACACTGCCCTGCAGTTTTCCCGGACAAGGCTGACAGCAATGTGACAGGTCAGTGGAAACAAGCCTCTAGGACTGGATTACACAAATGGCTTTTTATGTAAGTGCAGTTATTCTATAACAAATACATATGGTAAAATAGGAAGTAATTTATCCCGTGTGTTAAGAAAATAATGGACCAAGTAATTTAAATGAATATACACAGGTAAATTCTATGGAAGGGCATAGTATTCCCCAGCATTTTCATTTAATCCACAGTACAATTCAAAAATATATACACATATATTCATTCCAATACAGAGTTTGACCAAAAGCAGCTTCTTAGAACAGTTTTAGTGCTATATCTCACTCTTAAGATTCCATTTGAGTGTTTCCATTAAATGATAAAATGTTGTGTTAAACAATGTAAACAGGTTTTTTTTTTGGTGAGGAAGATTGTCACCGAGCTAACATCCATGCCGATCTTCCTCTATTTTCTTGTATGCGGGATGCCGCCACAGCACAGCTTGATGGGCAGGGTTTAGGTCTGCACCCGGGATCTGAACCCATGAACCCTGGGCTGCCGAAGCAGAGCATGCAAACTTAACCACTGCACCACCAGGCCGGCCCCATAAACAGGTTTTTTTTCCCTGCTGGATGTATCAGAATTTTTAATATGCTAATGTGCTTTGTGAATTTCCAAGAGGGGGATAAAGTGTGCAGCAATTTAAAACTGCTTTGATCACAGAACCTCAGGACTGGATATTTTGCTAGACCAGAGAGCTGTATAATGCACTTTTGGAAATGCTGCTCTAATGAATTCTATACTGCTCTACAACATCTGAAAACCATTGTACACCCCTAGAGAAACTAAGAATATGAACCATATGAAATTGAAAAAAATATATCAGGTTACCTATCCATCAGGGTATTTACATTAAGAAGTTAATTAATCAATCATTTGACAAGTCCTAGAGCAGTTATGCATGTTAATCAATAAAGATGGACTCAAATCAATTAAATATACTTGGCCAAGTAAAACAAGGTCTTTAGCTGCAACGTAAATCCTTTGGTTTCCCCAAAGACAATGCCCTTTAAGTCAAAGAAGCTTGCGAGCGAGTGCACGCTCAGAACTGAAGCACTGTGCCAAAAATAATTTATACTAGGTACTTTACTGTGGAAATAAAATATAAAACTCTTCCCACAGCCAAGAGTTCCATTAGAAAACGAAAAATTTAGCCTCGGCACAGATACAAATGCTCGCCCTTTATGCTCCTGGCCGGCTTGCCTGCTCTGTGTTTCTCTGGTGCTGCGCCCACTGCAGTACTGAGGAGGTAGGAAGGGCCTCTAACACATACCGCCTTAGCCAACAAGGCTTCTGTAACTTGCCCAGAGCACAGGACCTGGCGAGCCTGGGCCTCCCTGCATGAACAAGATGTTCAAATCAGGGGGCAGAATCAATCCCTAATCACACCAGCACTGATTACCCAGACGGGCCATAATCTGTGCTCTGTGCTCCCTTGAGCTGGTGTCTGCTGCCCATCTTTCTTTTCCAGTAGGAAAACCAATGCCAGAGGGTAAGTGCTGGAAATTAGAGCAGTGGAGATCCAAATCATGCCTATTGCTGTACTGGTTTACTGCTCTAGAAAAAGGATTGACGGGAGAGGATGAAAGTGTTGAATAAATGAATGGGGGAATGATCTGTAGCTTTCCAGCCTTCTGCATCCTCTCACGGTCCCAGATAATCAAGAGACAAATGTCCTCTGTGAAATGTTTTACACACGATGGAACAAAACTGTGCTAGAGAAAGGGGTGCAGAAAATCAATACTCTCAACATTCTCTTGTATCGCATTTCTGTATAAATAAAAACAAAATAAATAAAAACATACGTATGTACAAGAAGACTGGGAGAATATAAATCACGATGGTAACAGTGCTACACTTTATTGTATGTCAATTATACTTCAAAAAGCTGCTTAAAAATGTTAACAGTGGTTATCTCTGAGTTAGAAAAGATTACAGGCAACTATATATATATTTTTCTGCTTGTCAGTATTTTCCAAATTTTCTTCACTGTATGTGCATGACTTTAGTACCAAAAATATATAAAAATTATTTTCAAAAATCTTACACAATTCATTCAATTTTTTGATGTTTGTGTAGTTCTTTGTACCTTATCAAGTGTTTCCACATATTTAATCCATAAAACAGCAGAGGGAAATATTACGATTATTTAATATTATGATTATCATAAATATGATATCATAAATATTATGATTCTGATTATTGTTTCAAGGAGGAGGAAACAGGCTCTAAGATGTTACAGGATTTGTTCAAAGTCAAAGAGCTAGTAATTAGCAGAACCAAAATGTGAATCCAGATTTCCTTCTCCAAATTCTAAGACTTCTGTTTTCTTTTTCTCACTGTTTGCTGTTTCTTCTGGTCTAGCATGCTCTACTGGCTGTATAAACCCCACAGGAATAGGCTTCAGATAAAACAGAAGTAGTAGAGTTATTATATAATATTTAAGGAAAAGAAACTATTTTTTTTTCAAACTCAGATTGGTTAAGGGGAAAAATGTAGAAAACCAAGGGAGGTTTGGAGACCACGGAGGCACAGTCAGAGGGCTAGGAAAACTTTTACTCCTAGTTGCTACATAACACACTCTTGGCTTCACTTCAACCTCACTCGGAAAGGGAAAAGGAAACTGGACAAAAATGGGACCAAAACACTTACAGATGGCACCAAACAATGAAACAGGCTAGAGGTATTCAGACTCTGCACTATTGGAGGTACCTTCATTCCTGCCGCGGCTGCAGGGCCACTGGGGTCCACAGCCTGGATGTGGCATGGCTTACTTCCTCGCACCACAAAGCCCCAGCCCACAGCGTCGCCAACAATCTAGAGAGGAAAACCACAATTAGCAATCAGCAGACGGTCCCTGGCAACTTGCCTGTCCTTCCAGGACAGAGAAAACCAGCCCAGGATTAAGTGCGTGCCATGACACATCTCTTCTCCTTTTCATCTCTACCCTGTCAGGAGAATGGAATGCTTTGCTTCTACCATAAACACAGGGAGATTTATGCGGAAAATGTGGTCAAGAAACACCTTTTTGGCAGAAAGGAGCTTCTTCTGTGAGGGCACTACTCATTAAATAACTGGCGGGTTGCCGCTTTCTTAAGCTGCTATACAATTTAATATCCAACTCAAATGGAATGTTTAGATCTTAAAAACATGGTTGAAATTTCTCTCCAGATCCAATGTCCATTCCACGTTTGTTCTTTTCCCCTGGATCCAAATGATACTTTTTTTTTTTTAATTTTATTTATTTATTTATTTATTTTCCCCCAAAGCCCCAGTAGATAGCTGTACATCATAGTTTCACATCCTTCTAGTTGCTGTATGTGGGACGCGGCCTCAGCATGGCCGGAGAAGCGGTGCGTCGGTGCGTGCCTGGGATCCGAACCCGGGCCGCCAGCAGCGGAGCGCACACACTTAACCGCTAAGCCACGGGGCCAGCCCTAAATGATACTTTCTTGATGATCTTGCTATGTCACTGAAGTCTAAAGGAACAATTTAAATTACTAACGGTGGGAAATATGAAGAGTCTTGGCTTTCTTGAAACACAATTTTCTCTACCAAGAGAAGATAGTGAAAAAGCACATAAAGTTCACAATTTACAAGTAGACACTAGTTAAAAGTTGTTTGAGACTGGAGGGTGCCTTTTCCTATAGAATCATTATAGAATTGGCAGTTATATTCCCTGGGCAGCTCCCAGACATGCCTTTGACACATACCCCAGCTGAAATACAGATGAAACACGTTCACAACCAATTCCTAGCAATGCTAGCATTTAAATTTAAAACCAAAAGAAATACTTTTAAGATACAGTCAATTGTCTCTTGAATGCTGGAGACTGAGGAAAAGCAGGGAAGCAAGTGGAAATTTTTGTGAACATTCTCAAAAGATTGTGAGGCACTTGACTGACTTTAGGGTTTGCTGTTATTAGCTTATTACATCTAATTTCACTTCCAAATGTACAGTTTACCTTTTCCCCCGATACAGACATATTAGCAGTGCTTTTTCTTCATTATGATGGGGCCCATCATCCTATTTTAACTTCTCAGGGCTCAGAGAAGCTTCTCAGGGCTTCACATAGTTCAGGCTATGTGAAGCAGCCCTCGACAAATGTTTGCAGCATGAAGGAGTGTGGAAAGATTTTTTTCCCTGAGGTAATAAGACAAAAGTTAGAGGACTAAAGGAAAGAGGAGAAGTGTTTTAAAGAGGATGTTGATGTAAATGCGAGGAGACTGAGAGAAAGGGGCAAGGGGATGGGGAGTGGGTGAGGTGCTGTCATGCAGAGCACTTGGATTCTGTTTGAAGAAAACCAATGGGGCTGGAAGGAGTGGAAGGAATGGAAGGAAGCCTGAAGGCCTCCAAACAGGGGCAGGTGGTCTGGAGATGCTCACAGATACGCAGTGCTCCCAAATCAGGTGCTCATGTAACTCAAGGCACGCTAACATGTCAAAAGCACCATTTCTTATGGTGGAACAATTTATCCCATAGTTTTCTTTCTCTATCTTAAGACTCCCCTAACGTCTTAAATGATTTTTAGAATTGATTGTAACGCAGAAGGAATTATCGGCATTATTTGCACTACCATTTGCCCTAAAATCTGTAATTATATTAGAATAAGTATATAATGGAAATCTTTTGATTAAGGATCCATCAAAAGGAGTTTAAAATACTGTATTAATAATAAATCATGTCAAGTCCTAATGCATTTAGTGCCTAAGGGTCAAGAAAGCCCACCAGTATAATTATGCTAAAAACAAAAGGAACATTAGGAGAAGGTTTTCAGTTCCACCCCTAAGCTACACAGTGAAACACTGACATGTTGACACAGCACAGAAAAACGAGCGGTACAGGAGAACACCCAAACGATAAGCCTACCGTGAATGTCTTCCTTGCATACGGAGCCCCCGGCGTCAGGAGCTCCTCAGACGTAACAGGTCTCTTCAACACTGTAAGACAGACACAGTGTCAAGGTACCTATCCTTCTGAGCCCTTCGTTCACTCATTCAGCAGATATTCGCTGAATGCCTCATAAGTGACCATCGGTGAAGTGGCGAACAGAAGTGGCAAAGATCCCTGCCTCACAGTTTATACTCTAGCCAAACAGAGAGAAACGTTAGCAAATATAAACAACTCTAAACCTAACTTACGGAGCTATGGAAAGAAGAGGAAATGGAGCAGGGTATAGAGAAGCAAGAGCGCCAGGGGTGGGTTGAAATTGTTTCATCAGGAAAAGGCCACATTTTCTAGTTCTCCCATTTCATTCTTTTAAATCCTGATATGCATTCAACATGTCAAAGTTAAGAGAAAACTTGACTCTAGCGGTCTGATAGTCATGTTTCAAGAGTTAACCCGGGGCCGGCCCCGTGGCTTAGCGGTTAAGTGCGCGCGCGCTCTGCTGCTGGCAGCCTGGGTTCGGATCCCGGGCGCGCACCAACGCACCGCTTCTCCGGCCATGCTGAGGCCGCATCCCACATACAGCAACTAGAAGGATGTGCAACTATGACATACAACTATCTACTGGGGCTTTAGGGAGAAAAAGGGAAAAAAAATGAGGAGGATTGGCAATAGATGTTAGCTCAGGGCCAGTCTTCCTCAGTAAAAAGAGGAGGATTGGCATGGATGTTAGCTCAGGGCTGATCTTCCTCACACACAAAAAATATATATATTAAAAAAAGAGTTAACCCAACACAACCCCCTCCCCTACATGCTGCACACATCCCATAGACTAAGGCTTCACTCATTTCCTTGTTAATACCCCGGATGGCATGTACACATTGCCTTTTGCCCTGAGGAACAAGACTAGTGAACTTTTCTGCATACCCAACATGTGCTAGGTGCTTTAAATATATTATCTTATTTAGTATCACAAAAACTAATGAGTTAGGTTCAGCATTGTCCCTATTTTATTAGTGAGAAAACAGAAGCTCAGAAAAGTTAAATAGCTTGTGTCCAAGATCTCAGAGCCAATGGGTAGCAGAATTAAGATTCAAACTCAGGTGTTTATGCCAGCGCCCACAATCACGGCCACTGTGCCACATGGTTCCTCCCATGCTGTGCTGTCTCTGTGGACAGAAGGAAAGGCTCAGACGCTCCAGAAGGTAGAGATGTGTTGTCCTCCTAAGACACTTGTCCTCATCAGCTTACTGATGTTGCCCACCAAGACGGCAAAGACAACAGCCAATTCCTGACTTGGCCGACTGCCTAAAAACCCACCAGTAACAAACTTTCTCATCTATCCTGTGCTCACTAAGAACTAGAAGACAGACTAACACAGCCACCCAGAGCAGTCAGGGGGCAGGGGACAGGGACTATCCTAACCTAATTATATAAACATCATGAACTTGAGTGTCACAAGGAAACTAGAGAGTCCGGGGCCACAGGCCTAACCTGGCAAAGTGCCAGCCTCCAATTCCCTTTTTTGGGGGTGGCATTCAGAGGTCACATGCCAGTCCTGGAACAAGCGTGCAGCACAAAATGAAAAGGCAGGGTGGGGCGAGTCCTGGATGATCCACCAGGCAGCTGGGTCCTGCCTACGGGTTATACGTGCGGCCTTCTTGACTGACAAGCGCCTTCTCAGTTAAAGGCAACGCACTGCTTCTTGCTGAGATGACAGGTGGCTGGGATTATTACTTTTGCTTTCAGAAAGCTCATAAAAGAGAAAATGATTTTATATTCCCAAACAAGAGGGAATAGACTGAATATCATAAAAGAACCTCTTGGCAGATGGTCAGGAGGTGAGAGAAGGTGTCCAGGGTTGAGGACTGAGACCTTTTAATTCCCTGTCAGACAACTCCCTCCCCACCCCCCTTAATCCTTTCTGGGGTTTATGAATGTGGATATAGGAACCCCACTGTACTGTAATATTTGGCAACAGTACTTACCATGTATTTAATACAACTTCTCTTTTTTTATTGAGATATAATTGACATATAACACTATATTAGTGTCAGGTGTACAGCATGTTTTGATATATGTATATATTGCATACTGTTCACCTCAATAAGTCTAGTTAACATCCATCATCACACATAGTCACAAATTTTATTTTCTTGTGATAAGAACTCTTAAGATCTACTCTCTTAACAGCTTTCAAAGATGCCATACAGTGTCATCAACTGTAGTCACCATGCTGCACATTACATTCCCAGGACTTATTTATTTTATAACTGGAAGTTTGTACCTTTTGACCCCCTTCACTCGTTTTGTCCATGCCCTACCCCCTCCCTCTAGCAATGACCAATCTGTTCTCTGTATATATGAGTTTGTTTTTTAGATTCCACATAAGTGAGATCATACGGTATTTGTCTTTTTCTGTCTGACTTATTTCACTTAGCATATGCCCTCAAGGTCCACCCATGTTATTGCAAATGGCAAGATTTCCTTCTTTTCATGGCTGAATAATACTCCACTGTCTACATATATATATCACATTTTCTCTATCCATTCATCCCTTGATCACCTCTTAGGTTCCTTCCATGTCTTGGGCTATTGTAAAGAATGCTGCAGTGAACATGGGGATGCAGGTAACTTTTTGAGTTAATGTTTTCATTTCCTTCAGATAAATACCCAGAATTGGAATTGCTGGTTCTTATGAAAGTTCTACTTTTAATTTTTGAGGGATGTTCATAATGTTTTCCATAGTGGCTGCACCAATTTACATTCCCACCAATAGCACACAAGGGTTCCTTTCTCTCCACATCCTCGCCGACACCTGTTATTTCTTGTCTTTTTGATAACAGCCATTCTAACAGGTGTGAGGCAATACCTCACTGTGGTTTTGAATCACACTGTACTGTAATATTTGGCAGCAATGCTGACCATTTATTTTAATACGCTTTCTCTTATGTTGAGAGATGTAGAAAACTTGAAGCCTAGGGAATTATCTTTAGCCTTCTCTTTTCAGATCCTTGGCAACTTATTCACTCATCACAGTGACACCAATTATGGTAATATCTGTACCACTTTTCTTGTCTGGCTTGAGGCATTTATATACAGCACTAAAAAAATATATACTGATGTATACATAATAATTAATTTTAAATGCCTCACTGTGAAGGCCTACTTATCTGCTTGAGAAAAAAATCACAGATGAGATCACTCCATCTTGGGAACCCTCTTAAAAGTGAAGGAGAAGCTTGTCAGAATACAGTGAGAGGGCTGGGACCGTGGCTTAGCAGTTAAGTGCACGTGCTCCGCTACTGGCGGCCAGGGTTCGGATCATGGGCACACAATGACGTACTGCTTCTCCGGCCATGCTGAGGCCGCATCCCACATACAGCAACTAGAAGGATGTGCAACTATGACATACAACTATCTACTGGGGCTTTGGGGGAAAAA